GATGAGAGCTCTTCTTTTTTAGATGTGTTATAACAGAACAAAAATACCTTGGTCCAGTGATTGCAAACATTTTTCAGGGTTTTGGAACCTAAATTTACTTACTGCACTATTACAGATAAGAGACATATACTTGGTTACTTTTATGGAACTGTTCTCCGGTACAGTCAGTGTACTTATAACATGGACAAAGCTGTCTCCACGGTGACTGTGACCTAAGATGTTTTCACAAAGAGAAACCAACTGGTTCCTACTCACAGGAAGTTCTAGAGGTAAGGGTCTTATTTTCTAGGAGATTGCATTATGGGGTCACTTGTTAGGAAGCCTATTTGATTCCTCCAAATCACAGGGTATTTTGAAAAAATAAGATAGAATAACCAGAGAAGGAAAGAAAGAGCAGAAGAAAAGATATCAGAGTTTACACAGGAGCATAAAAGAAAGAGTTAATCACGAGAAAGGAACAAGTACAAAGCCCTAGGATTCAGAGAGAAAGAAGAAACAGAGGTTCTGAGCTCTCTAAAAGAAGTCAGTTCTGGGAAACCTTCGTTGTAATCAGGGTTATAATAATGACTCTACCATGAGCAATGCAATCCCTCCATTAGCAACTCAGACTGGGAAAATAAAGAGCCCGAAGCTGGTTCAGAAAGCCAAATATTAAGAGGTCGAAGAGTCAAAGAAGGATGACAGATTAGGACGACAGTCAGGAATCAGAGTGACCTATGAATAGCTGGCAGATGAAGGCAGCTCCTATACTTCTATTTGCCATTGCAGGTGCTACTTGGAGATGTAGCCCAAGAGTCACCACAGAGACCCGAACCAGACTGCCTGGGTTCAATACTGGCCTTGCACTTACAGCTATGTGACTGCGGCAAGCTGTTTAATCTCACTGTGTTGAATTTCCTCATCTGTAAAATGGGTACACTAACAGCACGACCTTTAGAGTGCTGTTGTAAGGAAAAAATAAATTCACGTCTATACAGCTTTTAGAACAGTGCCTGGCACATCATAAGCTCTTTTTTTTTTTTGAGACAGAGCCTCAAGCTGTCCCCCTGGGTAGAGTGCCGTGGCATTACAGCTCACAGCAACCTCCAACTCCTGGGCTCAAGCGAGTCTCCTGCCTCCGCCTCCCAAGTAGCTGGGACCACAGGCGCCCGCCACAATGCCCGGCTTTTTTTTTTTTTTGGTTGCAGCTGTCATTGTTGTTTGGGGGGTCGGGCTGGGGATTCAAACCCGCCACCTTAGGTGTACGTGGCTAGCGCCTTAGCCGGTTGAGCTATAGGCGCCGAGCCACATCATAAGCTCTTATTAGCGTTAGCTGCTATTATGTTATTCATGTTCTTTTTTCTTTTTTGAGACAGAGATTCACTCTGTTGCCTGAGCCAGAGTGCCATGGCCTCAGCCTAGCTCATAGCAATCTTTTCAAACTCCTGGGCCCAAGCGATCCTCCTGCCTTTGTCTCCCACATAGCTGGGACTACAGGTGCCTGTCACAATACCTAGCTAATTTTTTCTATTTTATGTAGAGATGGGGGTCTTGCTCTTGCTCAGGCTGGTTTTAAACTCCTGAGTTCAAGTGATCCACACACCTCCACCTCCCAGAGTGTTAGCATTACAGGCGCAAGCCACTGCGCTGGCCTATTTTTATGAATGTTGTTGTAAGTGATATAAGAAATTTGTAATTAATCGGGCATCTTTCTAAGTGAATGTTTTTCAACTTCAGTTAAAATCTTATCTATATGGTAAGTATCTTACACTGTTTCCTTAGAAAATTTCCGTTTAGTAACCTCATGCAACCTTCACTCCATCCAGATTATACAGACAGAAGTGAGTTACTGGATCTCTCTGCCCAGGACCAACATGGTCTAGAGTTAGTAATATCCAGCACAGGAATGAGACCGGTTTTTAGAATAAAGAATTACTAGCTAAATGTCATGGGCACATTACCCATCCATACTGTGTTTCTCTCTTCCCAATGTTTGTCCAGCTTGCCGAGGAGAATTGTAGCCAAATAATTCCAAGAGCTTTAGAGCAAATCTAAGTTATAAAAATCAAACCGAAGTCTGCCTATGCAAGTGAAAAAAAAAGTCACTTCTAGGGTTAGAATTATAAATAATCGGGCTGCTCGTGTACTCTTCCTGGCATTAGATTTAGTTTAATTATGGGGCGGAGGGCAGAGAGTGCCCTCGATCAGGAAAGCCTTCCAGAACACACGTCTGAAGTCAAGTGTGAAGATGGTATCTGGAGACATCTGCTCTGCTAATTCTCTGTTAGGGTACTTTTGTTTGGAGGTGGTGAGATGTCTCAGATTTCCCCTTCTGTGTACTTAAACTCGGGTTGCTAAAGGTCACCATTGTGTATTGTCTGGTAAGAGTTCCTGATGATGGGCTTGGGGCCTGTGGCTCAAGCAGCTAAGGCGCCAGCCACATACACCTAAGGTGGCAGGTTCGAATCTCCAGCCTGGGCCTGCCAAACAACAATGATGGCTGCAACCAAAAAAATGGCCAGGCGTTGTGGCGGGCGCCTGTGGTCCCAGCTACTTGGGAGGCTGAGGCAGGAGACTCCCTTGAGCCCAGGAGTTGGAGGTTGCTGTGAGCGTGATGCCATGGCACTCTACCCAGGGGGATAGCTTGAGGCTCCATCTCAAAAAAAAAAAAAAAAAAAAAAAGAGTTCCTGATGATGGTAGGAGAATCCCTGTAAACCTCCATGGCACACCTCTTTGTGTCTGATTGATTAGAGCAGTGGCCAAGCCAGGAATCCTACATGCTGAATCTGTCCAGCATCTCCCCCTGAAACATTTTTTTTTTTTTTTGAGAAAGAGCCTCAAGCTGTTACCCTGGGTAGAGTGCCATAGCCTCACAGCTCACAGCAATCTCCAACTCCTGGGCTCAAGACAGTCCCCTGCCTCAGCCTCCCAAGTAGCTGGGACCACAGGTGCCTGCCACAACGCCCTGCTATTTTTTGGTTGCAGCCGTCATTGTTGTTTGGTGGGCCTGGGCTGGATTTGAACCCGCCACCTTAGGTGTATGTGGCTGGTGCCTTAGCCACCTGAGCCACAGGTGCCGGGCCTCCCCCCTAGAAACTTTTTAGCCAAAAATAAAAATATACAATCCACAGAACATCGTTCCTGTGAAAGCCGCAAATAAAAGAGTTTAAGATTGTCATTTTAAAGGGTTCTATCCTCCCTAGCAAGGCAAGGAAAACCACAAGGAATCTGTGGGACCATCAGCCCCTCGCAGCTTCTCTGTCACATGGAAGACTGTCAAAGAGGAAACCAAAGATTCTTAACTGCTACCCCAGAAAACCAATCAAACAAACAAAACCCAAAACAACACTTACAGTCAGGTCTAAAGCCATCACTTCTGGGTGTTCTCTTCACCAACAAACTACCATTTAAAAAAAAAAAAGTGTTAGTGATTCTCAATAAAATCTCTGTGAACTGCCTATAGAATTAAGTATTACTCAAGTCTATACTCTTTTTTTTTTCTGAGACCAAGTCTCTCTCTGTTGCCCTGGGTAGAGTGCCGTGGTGTCATCATAGCTCACAGCAACCTCAAACTCCTGGGTTTAAGCGATCCTCTTGTCTTCGCCCACCACCATGCCTCCCTAGTTTTTCTATTTTTGAACTCCTGACCTCAAGTGATCCTCCTGCCTCAATCTTCCAAGTTTCTGGGACTACGAGTGCACAACACCATGCTAGCTTATTTTTGTAGAAATGGGGTCTTGATCTTGCTCCAGATGATCTCAAACTACTGAGGTCAGGCAATCTACCTGCTTTGGCTTCCCAGAGTGCTGGGATGACAGGTCTGAGCCACCCCACCTGGCCTCAAGTCCGTACTTAAAGTGGCTCTGGATAAGAGGAAGGGCACAGAGCAATTGCACTGGGGTTCCTCCAGAGGCAGTTGTTGGAGCTATGGTAAAGAGGGGCTTGGAGACACAGCAAAGCATGTCCTCTTCCCCTTCCCCTCTGAGGCTAGGAGTCAAATGGGCTATTTTTCCATGTGGTCAAATCCTAAAACCCCAGGGCAGTAAGCCATTGGCTTTAGAATATATTATATCCTTTGGAAAGACATCTCTTGTTAGCATCCCTTTTGGGCTTGTGGGGAAAGCCAGAAATGGCATGTTATACGGGTGTCCTACTCACCTGGCCACCTTAACCATGTTGGGCTTGTATTTCTCTAAGCTGCTGAGTAGCGCTCGCATGGTTTGCCCAGTTCCAACAATATCCTTTGCAAAGAGGACAGGTTAATTCAGCAAAATGAATTTGAGCAGCACAATAGCTTTTATTTACCCAGGGAAGCGATTCCCTGTTAACAATGCGTCCTAATTAGAAATGCCGTCCAATGGAAGGCAGAGCAGGAGGCAGAGCTGGGATGCTGTTTTAGACAGGTGCTTCTTTCTGGAAGTTGGGTTTTGGGGAATCTGCTGTGCACGTGAATCTTTTAACTGTGTTGAAGGGCTAAATGTAGCCTCTGAAGAGCACACTGGCTCTGCGCTGAGTATATTTGGACTCCTGCGAGCACATTCAGGGAGTAAATTTGGCCCCAAGGTTATGTAACACAATACATGACACATGAATTTTCATGCACATGTACATCTGAATGCACCGAATGGCTAAAAACCGCCCCCTGCTCGTCCCCCCTCCATAGGGGATTCTGTGGCTGGGAAGAGAGATGTGTCTGGACAGCAGCTGGTGACAGCCCATGAATTCTGAGGGTCCACGGCTGCAGTGAGCTCAGGCTCATCTCTGCTCAGGAGCTGCTGCACAATTAGAGGAGAATGATCAAGGGCCATTTATTGTCCTCAGGACAGAAATCAGCTGTCCGGAGCTGATTGTGAAAACAACAGGTCTGAATTTAGCCAAGGGCTGGGCAATTCATTTAGTTGGAGGGTCTAGTTCTTGGGTTCTATTGAGCCAGGAGAACGGCAGATACACAAGGCACACACAGGCCATTGTGTAACAAAAGCTTGAAAACAGCTCCCCTGAATTCCTGCCTGCTGATAAGGCAAGTGTGCTCCAGAACTAAAGGTGGCCGTTTGCTGTATCAATCCCAACACTGCCACAGGGACTCTTTTCTCTTTTTTTTTTTCTTTTTTGAGACAGAGCCTTAAGCTGAGCCCCTGGGTAGAGTGCCCTGACTTCACTGCTCACAGCAACCTCCAACTCCTGGGCTCAAGCGAGTCTCCTGCCTCAGCCTCCCAAGTAGCTGGGACCACAGGCACCCGCCACAACGCCCGGCTATTTTTTGGTTGCAGCCATTATTGTTGTTTGGTGGGCCTGGGCTGGATTAGAACCCGCCACCTTAGGTGTATGTGGCTGGCACCTTAGCCGCTTGAGCCACAGTTGCTGAGCCTCTTTTCTCTTTTTTAACAGAAACACAACTTTAAAAACAAGTAATCACTGTCCCCTAGATGGCCATTTTTTTTTTTTTTTTTTTGTAGAGACAGAGTTTCACTTTATCGCCTCCGGTAGAGTGCCATGGCTTCACACAGCTCACAGTAACCTCCAGCTCCTGGGCTTAGGTAATTCTACTGCCTCAGCCTCACAAGTAGCTGGGACCACAGGTGCCCACCACAACGCCTGGTTATTTTCTGTTACATTTTGGCCAGGTCGAGTTTGAATCCACCGCCCTCGGTATAGGGGGCCGGCGTCCTACCCACTGAGCCACAGGTGCTGCCCAATGGCCATTTTTTAAATTGATCATATTTACAATTGTGATGTTGAAGATATTTGGGGATTGCTCACAGACATTAGAGGTCATTGGCAAGAACACTGAAGTCAGGGTAAGGACAGTCTTAACCTTGGCTTTACTATATGAAATGAATTTGCTTCAGTGGGCTAGCTGGCCCTTCTCCGAAAATGTCTGATTCACAAATACATATAAGAACCAATTTAGAGATATGTGAAATTGCATATAAATAAGGGATCAAGTACCACACAACTCTTATTGCAAAAGCTCTCATTCTAACCTATCTGAAGCCAGGGATGCTAGCTGGCTCCTACTCAAGGGAGAGCTGTGCGCATAATGGGAGCTCAATAAATCCTTGGACAATTTGACAGCACATTCTTCTTAAAACTCACCGTTAGACTCTCAACTTCCAGATAGGGAAAAGGAAAAGCCAGCTTACCTCAACGATGAGAACATTCTGAAAGAAACGAAGCCCATATTTCAGAATATGATGGCAATCTCACTCACAGACACACAGTTTGCTTACGGTTAGAATTTCACAAATTGCTTAGCTAGTCTTTCCCCACCCATCAAATGCAAATAATGAGAGGCAAGCTAGGTATTCTAGATTCCTTTCAGCAGTTCCTCTGGAATTAGGTGGCGGTGCAATATTAATATCTATGTTCAGGGTAGGAGCAGGCTCATCTGAGACCCCGTTACCTGTCAGAAGAGCTTTCCATAAAGTCATCCCCACCCAGCGTTCCCCTGGGATGCAGAGCATTTACCAGCAAACTAAGACGACACGAACTGTATCACTAATGGAGACTGCTCTGTTGATGAATTATGGATTCAGCTGTGACAGCCGTATTCCTGCCTAGCCACCCAGATCCCAGAGGACTCTGGATTTACTCTTGAACTGTCAACGCTGAGGAAGGGGGTGGGCCAGAGAAAGGACTGGGGGTGCCAGGTCTGTATTGTTTAGTGAGATGGTTGGGTGCTTTGCTATCTGCTTTAAAGGTACCCCTCCACTTCTGATTAAGTTTCATTTTAATTTCTTGTTTAGGGACTGTCTACCACAGTCTAAACTCAGTGAAGTGGGGATCACGTTTGTCTTGCTTTTACTATTACATTTCCAGACCCTAGCATAATGCCTGCCTACAGATGCCCAATAATTATTTGTAGAATAAATAACCAATTAAGTTTATTAATGAGTTAAAAACCAACCAATTAATTGGATTAGTAATTACATGTCAATGCTGTCCCACCAAATTAAAATATGACTGTGTTAATATGACATTCCAATTAACTAAATGGCGAGAATATTTCTTCAAGGTAATGGTGTTTTTCTTTCTTTAAATGACCTTCCATTTATCCCTGTGCCTTATACACTACTCTAAAAATCAAATAAAAATATTACACATTAGGCTCGGCGCCTATAGCTCAACCGGCTAAGGCGCCAGCCACGTACACCTAAGGTGGCAGGTTCGAATC